TATCTCAGGACTGGATGGACAGAAATGCAAACCCTTTTGGGTTTAGGTTTTGATATATGATCGATAAGGGGGCGGGCCATGGCAGCCTATAAATCTTTCACTCTCATGATAGATTTCCATTACCAAGCCCCCTCAGAAGCCCAACATGCGGCAGTCCACAAAAACTCGGTCTGTGTGCTCACCCTTATAATTCCACTCATGCTTCGTGGAGTGGTACCATTCAATCGGTTTGGAAAAGAAAAAAAACAACCAAACGCTTATACGTGTGTGATCAACTCAGACAGAATCGGAGACTATGAGAACAGCAGTTGGTTGGCGCCTTTCGGCATCGGCAGAACGAAGCCGAATATCATGTTTGCATTATTGTCTATTAGCAGCCTCCTGCTATGGTGGGATCGGGCCGTGGTCAGGATTCTGTGCAGTATCTAGAGCTCAGTGAAATACTGTTTTGCGAACCATTTTGTTGGTTTAAATATTTTTCTCATTTTTTTTTTCTTTTGTTAACATAGAAAGTACAAACACACGTTAATATTCTGTCACTGAAAACCAAAGCCCGATCGGACTCTCAGTTTAAGTCGGCTGAATGCATTGCTGGCGCATTAAGACGAAGGGGGTGGAAAGACGTCCAGTTGGCTTTCTTTAGGAAGCAGCCACGGCTCTGAGTAGAAAAGCCGGCCGCCTGCCAGCATGCTGCAGAGAAGGACCCTTGCTTCCTGTGTGGATGCAGTGGTCTCTCTGCAGAGGTCTGAAATGCCTCCTGCTGAGTCAGCTGATTGGAGAGTTCTTGCTCTGACTCAGCAGGAGGGGTATCTGACACGCCCCCGGCTGAGTTAGATCTAAAAGCTTTTGCTTGGTAGGGAGCTTGAGCTTTGCTGATTGGAGAGTTCTTGCTCTGACTCAGCAGGAGGGGTATCTGACACGCCCCCGGCTGAGTTAGATCTAAAAGCTTTTGCTTGGTAGGGAGCTTGAGCTTTGCTGATTGGAGAGTTCTAGCACTGACTCAGCAGGAGGCGTGGCTGGCACATCCCCTGCTGAGTCAGAGCTGAAGCTTTTCACTTAGTACGGAGTGGGAGCTTTGTTGATTGGAGAGTTTTTGCTCTGACTCAGCAGCAGGCGTGTCTGGCATGTCCGCTGCAGAGTCAAAGCTAGAACTTTTTGCTTGGCAGGAAGCTTGAGCTTTGCTGATTGGAGAGTTCTAGCACTGACTCAGCAGGAGGTGTGTCTGGCACGTCCCCTGCTGAGCCAGAGCTAGAACGTATTGATTAGTAAGGAGAGTGAGCTTTGCTGATTGGAGTGTTCTTGTTCTGACTCAGCAGGAGGCGTGTCTTACACATCCCCTGCAGAGTCAGAGCTAGAACTTTTCTCTTAGTAGTGAGAGTGAGCCTTACTGATTGGAGAGTTCTAGCTGTGACTCAGCAGGGAACGTGCCAGACACGCCCCCTGCTGAGTCCGAGCTAGAACTGTTTGCTTGGTAGGAAGGGGGAGCTTTGTTGATTGGAGAGTTTTTGCTCTGGCTCAGCAGGAGGCGTGTCTGGCACATCCCCTGCAGAGTCAGAAAGTATTGATTAGGAAGGAGAGTGAGCTTTGCTGATTGGAGAGTTCTCGCTCTGACTCAGCAGGAGGCGTGTCTGGCACATCCCCTGCAGAGACAGAGCTAGAACTCCCCAATAAGCAAAGCTCACTCTGCCAACTAATTTCCCTGACTCAGCAGGGGGCATGTCAGATCTCTGCAGAGAGACGTCTGCTTTCACATAATGAACAGGAGCCCATCTCTGCAGCATGCCGGCAGGGGACAGGCTTTCCTGCTCACGCTATGACTGATTTTTTCAAGAAAACCAACTGTAAGACTTTACACCTCTTTGTTCTGATGCACCCGGAATGTATTTAGCCGACATGAACTGAACATTCAGTTGGGCTTCAATCTCATACACTGGGAATGCACAAGATTAATAAACATGCTGTAAGCCGACTCCACTTGGGCAGTGTGGATGTAGCTCTCTGCCTACAACTAAGTACATTATGTCCCTTTAAAAACATACATTTTTCATTTCATTTTTTTTGGACAGTTTCATAAAATGTCACTCATCTCAGTCTCAACAAAGTTTTTTTGAGCTTTTTTTGATTTTTTTTTTAAACACAGGAAAAAGAACTAAAACAAACTGACAATTTTCAAGCCAGTGAAAGTGAAAACCAGAAGGGAGGTAGCTGGAACCTGCTTTGAAAACACCCCCAGGGAATGCCCTTTAAGCCCAACTCCAGCCCAAGCTTGTATTAGTTTTGGACAGAGTGGGGGTAGGGACAGAACCACTGCAAGGTTTGTACTGTGGCCTGTTACCCCATTGGAGAGATTCCTCCTGATTTCCTGTCGGGACAGGAAGTGGTGGAAAATATATTTAGCCAAGACAGGCACTGCAAAAAAACACAAATGTGCAAGGGCTAGGACCTCACTGTCTAGGTCTTCTTGTCCTGGTGAAACCATCACCCTTATTTCTTGCCCTTCTGTGGCAGATTTTCACAGGAATAAGGAAGTAGAATCTCTTGGACAGCAATAATGGCTTAAAGGAGCCCTTGCAGTACAGTGCAAGGTCTGCCTACACCGCCCAGACCCCCTTCACAAATCACCTACTATTAGTAGGGGTATAATGATACCCACCTCACCATGGCCGTCCCTTTAAAAAGGCAGCTTGATGCTGTTGCCTTAGGCGGCATCTCTTTGGCTCATGTGAGGGGGCGGCAGGCCATACCGCTCTACTGCAAAATGTTTGTGCCCCTTTTTCAGCCACAGAATCCCAGGTTGCTAAGAGTCAGGTGGGGAGATGTGTAAGGGCCATACACATAATCTGTCCACCCAGCTCTTAGCAACCTGGGATGCTCTAGCTGGTGTCCCGCTCAGCTCCTGGTAACCAGTGACGTCAGGAACTGGGTGGGACATGGGCCGGAGCTGGAGCTATATGTGGGCAGGGAGATGATGCACAGGCCACAAATCCCCACCCGCTGCCTCCTCAGGTGGTGAGAAGGCTAGGGACGCCCCTATACCTCACCCCTGTCTTCCATGCACAGAGCCTAGGCAAGAATAATATCAAGTTCCTTCCCGATAGATCCAGAGCAGCTGAAATCTCATGAGAAGACACCCTTGCAATGGACTGGGTTGTTATCTTGCGAGATTCCGCCTTCAGCAGGAGTCTCGGTGATGTCTTTCCCAACGATTTGGAAGATGGGGGTAGGGTAAGTATAAATCTATTCTTTTACAGGGTATATTTTACCCCTACTAACAGTAGGTGAATTGGAAAGGAGGAGGGGGCTCTGGGAATTTTTAGTAGACCTGACCTTGTACCTTGTGTTGAATGGACCTTACGTTGCACTGCAAGGTCCCCTTTAAGTGAAGCATACTTTTCCCTCAATCTGTCCATAACTAGAAAGAAAAGTTTTTGGCTGGAGTTGGGTTTAATCCTTCAGGGATTTGAGGAGGTAAAAAAAAAAGCTGCCATCTTACACAGACCTTGCATCAGGACAAATCGCTAACGGTTGTCACAAGAACTCCACGCTTTGGACACCAGCGTACACATCTAAGCGCCTGCAGAGTGCCCAATCGAACTCTTTATTTTTTTTTCCCTCAGCAGCAACAGAGGAATGTAGGGTCCCATTTGAAAACCAAAAAACAATGATGTTGCATATGTACCCCAATTGACACTGCTCAGTAGTATATACAGTAGGTATTGCCACGCAGGACTGGCCTCGTAGTAATAATAAAATGCCGCTCGAGCTACTACACAACCAAGTACATACTACTGCACAGATATATTCTCCTTTCAGCCATTTGGTGTATTCCAGAGTCCTGAGCCTCAAACATACACACCGTGGGGGGTATAGTTATAGAGCAGCGAAGGTGACGTTCACCAAAGGTGCATCAATCATGAAAAACAAATGCACCAGGAAGTTCCACCCATGGTGAATGTTTGGCGAAAGACACATTCTCCGCCTTATAAATCTACCCCTATGTATTTTATGCGTCTACAAGCAAAACGCAACTGTACAAAAGTAACATGGAAAATAAACCACGATACAGGGAAATGAAAAAGGGCAGCGCTTTCCATTCATGTGCAGGACATTTCTGACACGCTTGGAAATACCTCATGTAGTCCGGTTGCCGAAAAATGACGCTAACAAAAAACTTTCCGGATGGTAAGGAGCAGCCGTTAGGAGAATAGCCAACACAGTCTACTCTACCCTGCCCTCTTCTCTAACATCGCGTGCCATTTCATCTCTCCAGAGTCCAGGCTTGGCTTGATTCGGGAGGTACAAACCCACATCAAGATAGGTTCCAAGTGGGTCCCTTTCCTTTGTTTCTAAGGACAAAGCCTGAAGGTGTAACGGGCAGGCCCCGAAAGACAAGATTTAAGGCAGACTGGTTGTTTTGGGTTGGTTTTCGCTTGACCTGACACAGTAAGGAAAAAAAAAAATAGCTGTATGGGACATAGCAGCAAGAATAGCAGCAACAGTTATGCTCAAACAACTAGTGTTGGGTTTTGGTGGCATTTGGAGAAATCTTAGACATCTGTCATGGGGCGCTTAGATCTCGTTCTAACAAGGCCGTCAAACAGGAAAAGTGCACAGCTTGAGGTTTTGATGGATAAAGGAACTCTAGAGCCTGCAATGACTGCAAACCTATACATAGTCTTCTCAATCCCTCAGCCAGCGTCCCGTGCCACCACAAATTTCTTACACATTTCCATTCTAACTATCGATAATAGAAAAGGAGAGCTAAGAAGTCCCATCTAGCTGGCTGAGAAGAGTATTTATGGCTTGTTATTTTTTTTTTTGTCATCTTCCGGCCATACCACAGCTCAACACGTACTTGATTTTTTTATGGTTATGTTTTTTTGTGGTTCCTTTTGGCGTTCAAATCATAATGCATGATTCCCAGTTCTTTGTTTTGTTTTTGTTTTTTACGAAAACGGGCAGACTGGTTCGTATTGAACGGTTCCCGGTGGAGAAACGCTATCCAGTTCAATGGCAAATGTAAAAAAAAAAAAAACGAAACAAAAAAACCAGAAGGAACGCGTTCATGTTTTTCCAGTCTGCCTTTTGTTGTGGTTGTTCCAGACGTGTGCGGCGCTATCCATGGCGGGACCTTTGGGTTTTTGGATTGTTCCCCTTTGCATTCTCCTTTGCATTGGGGTCCCTGCATGCACACTTCTCCTGCACATCGCACCCTGCCGGGAATGGGATCACCTAAAGAACACAAGGGAAAGATCGGGAGAAGGTAGGAGAAAGTCAACGGAGAGAAATTAGTCCTATAATTAGCAATTTATAAACTACAATAGACGATGTTAGATCAATCAGAGCTGCAGTTCTGGAGTTGCTCTGACCCAGTGATCTAGAGATCACAATTTGGTTCTTGTCAAAGTCCCTCAAATCCTCAAACTTCTCCTTTTTTCTGCTTCCAACACATCAACTTGAGGGGCAAAATGTTCACTTGCTGCCTAATATATACCATTCACTTCCGGGTGCCATTGCAACCATATAATCAATGTTATTCACTTCCCCTCTCAGTGGTCATAATGTTATGGCTGGTCGACGTATATTCGGTATATATATATATATATAATTTTTTCCCCCCAGGCATCCACTTTAAAACAGTACAGAGGATCGTTGCATAAAATTTATATAAGAGTGACCTTGTTTATTTTACATTTACTATAACATGGCTGTGTTTTATTAAGTTCAGATCATATTACATACGTAGCATTGATTTGATTCAGTTGAAAAACTCCACTCACATGGGCACTGTTATTAATTAGTAGATGTTGGACTGACAATAGGATCCAGCCTCACCGCACCAGGCTTATAAGGATGAGCAAAATTGAGAGCTGCGTTTGCCAACATTTTGGCAAAAATCAGACATTTTATCAAAGGTGGTTTTAAGGAAGCAAATTTCAGGGGCTTTAAATGGCTCCTGAGGGGTAAGGAAGCCCCTCTGAAATTATTTTATTTTTAAGGAATTTTTGATTTATTTCTAGATGTCCAGTGAGTGCCCATTAGATGACTTTCCCCCAGAAGGAGCACATACCACCAACTCTGGTGTTTCATAATTGGACACACTATTGCAGTCCATGATATTTATGGTATGTATATCTTTTCTGAGCCGCTTTGGTCCTTTTGAAGGACTGTTTATAAATTTGTATGTTTGGGATGATGATCTCTTAAGATGCATGGTAAGAATATAAAATCAATAGTGATTAACCTACATAATGTTTTCTTTCATCTCCTCCTCGTTTTATGATAATCCCAAGTCCAGTTTGGGCATATACCAAAAAATTGCTCCCACCGCTATACTCTGCTAATCTCCAGCATCGTCCCTCTTTAACTAACCCATCCAGCAATATGACCCACCCCTTTCCTTCATTGGATTTGAGTTCTTACAATCATGGAGGCTCAGTCACACATGTGGCCATTACCTAGGGTGGTCTACATGCAAATACAGCCTGCCTAGGAACACCTACTTCTCCAGACTGACATCCACCCATCAAGGCATTTTGATATTTGCATAACTCCTCCCAATAGCCAGCCCACTGCTTGCATTAGGATTGAGGGCTTTTGAGAGGTGTATTTGCATAACTCCTCCCAAGATCCAGCCCACTGTTGGCATCAGGGTTGAGGGCTCTTGAGAGTAGTATTTACATAACTCCTCCTCAGATCTAGCCCACTGTTGGCATCAGGGTTGTGGGCTCTCGAGAAGAATATTTGCATTACTCCTCCTAAGATCCAGCCCACTGCTTGCATTAGGTTTGTGGGCTCTTGAGAGGAATATGTGCATAACTCCTCCCAAGATCCAATCCACTGCTTGCATGAGGGTTGAGAGCACTTGAGAGGAGTATTAGCATAATTTCTCCCAAGATCAAGTCCACTGTTTACATCAGGGTAGAGGGTTCTTGTGAGGAGTACTGAGTCAGGTTGCTGTGATATTTGCTATGTACAGCACCCTGCTGGCCTCTCCCACCAGCCATGATTTGCCTGCATTGTATAGAGTCCCAGTGATGATAGCACTGGGTCTAAAATAAGGCCAGCAATGGAAAGGCTCTATTAAAAATCCCATTAACACATTAATGAGGAACCAAGGAAGGCAAAATATAAGCAGATTCAATTTCAGCTTTAAGTAAAAAAAAAAAAAAAATCACTAAAAGTGGCTTGTCCTTTAAAGGAGAACTATGAGGTGAGTGCTTTTCACTCGCCTCATAGCTCTAGCCGACCTGTGACAATGAGACTGTCACAGGTCGGCTCAGTAGATCGGGAGGTGAGCGAACACATACCGGGTTTGCTCGCCTCTCGATCCTGTCACGGCTCTCTGCAGTGACAGGGGAGGGGCTGGATTCCCCTCTCCCCGCTCCGATCCGCCAGCGCTGACTGGCGGAACGGACGGGGAGGGGGCGGGTACAGCTGGCTAGATAGGCAGAGCCAGCTGTCACTTACGCAGCTGGGCGGATCCCGTCATCTAAGTCGGGATCCGCTGCGGCGTCTCAGTATACCTGGGTCTAAAATAAGGCCAGCAATGGAAAGGCTCTATTAAAAATCCCATTAACACATTAATGAGGAACCAAGGAAGGCAAAATATAAGCAGATTAAATTTCAGCTTTAAGTAAAAAAAAAAAAAAATCACTGAAAGTGGACTTGTCCTTTAAAGGAGAACTATGAGGTGAGTGCTTTTCACTCGCCTCATAGCTCTAGCCGACCTGTGACAATGAGACTGTCACAGGTCGGCTCAGTAGATCGGGAGGTGAGCGAACACATACCGGGTTTGCTCGCCTCTCGATCCTGTCACGGCTCTCTGCAGTGACAGGTGAGGGGCTGGATTCCCCTCTCCCCGCTCCGATCCGCCAGCGCTGACTGGCGGAACGGACGGGGAGGGGGCGGGTACAGCTGGCTCTGCCTCTAGATAGGCAGAGCCAGCTGTCACTTACGCAGCTGGGCGGATCCCGTCATCTAAGTCGGGATCCGCTGCGGCGTCTCAGTATACCGCGAGCTGTAGCTCGCGGTATACTGAGCTTAGGGTAACGGGAGGACACTAGTTTGTGTCCTCCCATGACCCTAAGGAGAACTATGGGGAAAAACACTGACCCCATAGTTCTCCTTTAAGTGTCTTCTTGCTAATGAACAATGGCAATAGAATAGCATGACACAGTGTCACCTTTAACACCGGTAGAGGGAAGGAGCCTGCAGTGTGTGTATCTATGGGTATGTGCGTAGTCTCAGACCTCATCTCCCTGAGGGGTTCAGTACTGCGGGTTCCTGAAACAACTGCGATGCGAACACGCTATTCATTTCATAGCCCCGAGCACCAGCATATCAACCTACTATATAATTCCCAATTTTGGGGAAACACAATGTTACCAGTAACTAGGTACACACAGGACACAAAGGTCTTTTCATTTGCAGGGAACATTTGTAAGCCATGTAAGCATATCTAATACGTCTCGAACATGTTTCTGCCATATCCTCTGACATGATCTGAAAAGAACTGTGTGGTCCGGAGGAATGAGGATCCCTGGAACTCAACGGCGTATTCTGTTTCTTATTTGTCATTGTCTGTAAGGAATCCCTTTGCAAGAACGGTCCAAGAAATACACCCTTACAGAGGGAGGTTTAATAGGAAACATGCGCCGATGGTAGTAAACAACGAGGTCTGGTCCAAGAGAAGAGGACCAAGCTTTAATCTTTCTTCTCCCAATCAAACCGGCAGCTTGGACGATGAGAGGATGCTTAGGGGTGCAGGTGACTTGAACGTTGCCGACTCTCATGGACTTCATTAACAGGGACAGATGTATACAATCATGAAATTAGGCAGAGCCAGCTGTCACTCACGCAGCTGGGCGGATCCAGACATAATTGTCGGGATCCGCTTCAACTGCAGCGTCTCAGTATACCGCGAGCTGTAGCTACCTATATACTGAGCCTAGGGTGACGGGAGGACGCTAGTTTGTGTCCTCCCGTTACCCTAAGGAGAACTATGGGGAAAAGCCTGAAATCCAATAAATGGAAGGGGTGGGTCAGGGATGTTCCTAGGCGGGGTGGGCCAGGGATGTTCCTGGGCAGGGTGGACCAGGGAAGAAAGGACTATATGGTGGTGGATATCCTCCAGCCAGCAAATGAGGCGGAGCCCTATCTGACTTGAGCAGCTTCTAATGCACATTGTGACGAGCTCCCAGTGTTCAATGAAATCAAAGTAAGCAGTTTCAGTCCAGGAGAGGAGCCGCTACAAGGCTGAAGAGAAGGCCAGAGTTCAGCTTTAAACTCTCAGAGGCCTTCAAGTTGTCATAGTCTTACAGGAAGAATTAGCGAAGGAGCCAACGGCTTTGATCGATGCCAGCACAACTGATAGTCCACGTATTATATTTAGACAGAAACATATGCTCAACTGCTCCTAATGCCAAAAGTTTGATTTTTCAAATATGACCACCAGGAGCATCAATCATACCTTTTATTACTGTTAAGAACAAAGGACGGACATATGGGTGCAATTTCTCTTTGGAATCGGATTTCTTGTGCAAAATTCCACAGATTTCTTTGTAAATCAGCATTTTTGCACATCCTCATTTTTTTTTTTTTAAATAAAAAGGCTATGAGGGTGTTATGTCAAATTATACCTCTTGTTTTTTTAAAATAATATCTTGCGTCTGACAGTCAGTGAAAAGGAACAGATTCGGCTTTGGAAAAGATTGTTAACAGTGAAATTCCTGGTTGCTTAACGCTTTGTCTTCACGGGGCAAATCAGGATATATATAGCAGGCTTCTCTGTCTGGCAATCCGATGGACGTGTCTGGGTTTGGCGGTTGCCAGGATAATGGTAGTTGCCTAACTGCATGGTGCCAAGTGTAAAGTTTGGTGGAGGGGGGATTATGGTGGGGGCTTGTTTTTCAGGGGTTGGGCTTGGCCCCTTAGTTCCAGTGAAGGGAACTCTTAAGGCATCAGCACACCAAGACATTTTGGACAATTTCATGCTCCCAACTTTGTGGGAACAATTTGGGGAGGGCCCCTTCCTGTTCCAACATGACTGCCCACCAGTGTACAAAGCAAGGTCCATAAAGACATGGATGGGGGAGTTTGGGGTGGAGGAACGTGACTGGCCGCACAGAGTCCTGACCTCAACCCCATAGAACACTTTTGGGATGAATTAGAGCGGAAACTGCGAGCCCGGCCTTCTCCTCCAACATCAGTACCTGACCTCACAAATGGTCCAACATTCCCTAAGAACCACCCTT